ACTCTCATTTTGCTGCAGATTGGTGGCAGTTTGTCATGGGCAACTTGGGAGCCATGTTTTAGGCGTGACATGCAATGGGAGACAGGAGAAGGGCCAGGCCTGCCCTCCACGAGCTTGTCCCCAGGACCTCAGCTGGAGGCAACCTTCAATGGCATCTTGTCCAACCTCCTTCTCAGTGTTTAGATGAAAGAAATGACACAGCTGAGGTCTAATAATGGAGACACAACCACGACACAGTGTAAAATGTGGAAATCCTCTCAAGGGGGAATGGAAATTTCCAATGGGAATATTCTGAACTGCGCAGAGGAAAGAGAAAGCAGGGAGGCTTGAGGAAGCAGCATATAAACTAGACATTGAGGAGTGCTGTGATTTAGGCCAATGCTTCTCCAACTTTACTGTACGTCAGAATTACCTGGAGGGCTTGTGAACACACAGAATCCAGTTTCCAAATTAGTAGTCTAAGGAGGAGCCTGCAAACTTGAATTTGTTACCGTTCTCAGTGAGCAGTATGGCTTGCTGCCCAGCAAGATATTGATAAAATGTTCCCAAACTGTTTCTGCCGAGCCTGGTCTGGAGACTATGCTTCGAGAATCACCAGTTTAGATGTCCAGAGATTTGGGACTTCAGCAAAGGTACAGAGGCCAAAAGGTAGGGTGGGTTGGTGTAAGGAAGGTGGGTAGGTGGGATTCTGTAGAATAGCGACTGCTGTGCTAAAGAGTTTAGACTTTACTTCGATGGGCAATGGGAAGGTGTACAAGAGTTTTGAACAGAAGAGTAGAATTTAAAATCTTCTCTTTTTTTTGAGATGGAGTTTTTCTCTGTAGCCCAGATCTGAGGGCAGTGGTGTGATCTCGGCTCACTGCAACCTCTGCCTCCTGGGTTCAACCGATCCTCCCACATCAGCCTCCCAAGTAGCTGGAATTACAGGCGCACAGCCACCACATCCAGCTAATTTTTGTGTTCTTAGTAGAGATGGGGTTTCACCATGTTGGTGAGGCTGGTCTCGAACTCCTGAACTCAAATGATCCACCCGCCTCGGCCTCCCAAAGTGCTAGGATTACAGGCGTGAGCCATCTTGTCTGACCAAGAGTAGAGTTTAAATCAGTATCACATACGAAGGAGTGAAGTGTGAGTATATTCTAGAACAGGGATGAACTTTGGAAACATTATGTTAAGTGAATGAAACCAGACACAAAAAGACACATGTTGTATGATTCCATTCATTTTCTCAACAAATATTTTTTGAGCATCTAGGGTACATCCTGGTGCAAGCACATGTCTTGTTATTGTGGCCAGCTGGGGCTGGTTTAACACACCAGATGTTTATATTGTTTCTTTTTCATTTTCTAGATACACCTGTTTTCTATTCCTGGTCTGAGCTACAGCCCTCCTTCTCAATCTCTTGGATAGTAAGGAAGTAATGCCTCTTTCATTTCTCTTCTCTGGATCATGCCCTGGGATTAGGCTAGATAATGCAGTCCAGACAAGGACCTGGACGGGTAATAGCATGGTCACCGAAATCTCCCAAGTGTGGCCTTCTCCGCCTCAGGCCCACAACCCCGCTCAGTGGCCTTGCTATTCTGTTCTGAACCACCGTCTTCAGCTCTGACTTAACTCTGCCTCTCCACCTGGCCCTTCTTTCTGGTTCTGCCACTTCTTGGGCACTAGGTTAACCTTATGGACCATGGCTTTTCTGCTTTGGACCTGGATCTGTCTTCTCACATTTTATTTTTATTTTTTAATCATTACTGCCTTTTCCTCATAACATTAACGGGACCAAATCCGTGTTTATACACATGAATTCTCACACCGGGGTCACAGCAACAGAAGTCTGGGAAACAGCCTATTTCCTAAAAGGGCCAGGGTGCAGAGGTGAGCTCGGACTGCAGGCTTCCTGAGGCCAGGACTCCCTGGTGACTTTTTGCTCCTGGCTGCATGTCTGGCACATAGCAGTACCTAATTCATATTTGGGAGAGCAGGGTCAGAACCAGTATGTGTGCATCCTGGGTAGTGGATTCAGGGCAAAACATATTAGCTGAATATTATATTAATTGGGGTTCTCCAGAGAAGCATGAACTAATAGGTAGATGGATGGATAGATAGATTTTAGGGAATTGGCTCATGCTATTATGGAGGCTGGCAAGTCCAAAATCTGCAGGGCAGGCTGCAGGCTGGAAGCTCTTGGGAGAATTCCTGCTGCAGCTTGAGTCTGAAGGCCCTCCATTGGCAGAATTCCCTTTTCCTCTAAGGAGGTCAGTCTTTTCCTTTTAAGACCTTCAACTGATGGCTGGGTATGGTGGCGGGTACCTGTAGTCCCAGCTACTCGGGAGACTGAGGCAGGAGAATGGCGTGAACCTGGGAGGTGGAGCTTGCAGTGAGTCAAGATTGCGCCACTGCACTCCAGCCTGGGCGACAGAGCGAGACTCCGTCTCGAAAAAAAAAAAAAAAAAAGACCTTCAACTGATTGGATGAGGCCCACCTACATTAGCAGAATACCCTGGTTTACTGCAAATCCACTGATTTAAATGTTAGTCTCATGTAAGCTATCTTCACAGAAGCATTTAAAATAATGTTCGATGAAATATCTATGGCCTAGCCGAGTTGATACATGAAAGTAACCATCACAGGCTGGGCGCTGTGGCTCATGCCAGTAATCCCAGCACTTTGGGAGGCCAAGGCAGGCAGATCACGAGGTCAAGAGAGCGAAACCATCCTGGCCAAAATGGTGAAACCCTGTCTCTACTAAAAAATACAAAAATTACCTGGGCGTGGTGGCGTGCGCCTGTAGTTCCAGCTACTTGGGAGGCTGAAGCTGGAGAATCCTTTGAACCCAGGAGGCAAAGGTTGTAGTGAGCCGAGATGGCATCATTGCACTCTGGCCTGGGCAAGAGGAGCAAAACTCTACCTGAAAAAAAAAAAAAAAGGAAAAAAAAAAAAAAAAAAAAAAAAAAAAAAAAACTATCTATCTATCTATCTATCTATCTATCTATCTATCTATCTATATCTCATTGTTGGGTTTATTGTTTACTCTTTAGGTAAGAACTGTAGGGCACTAAAAATAACATAGTTGAGTGGGAAATGTGTTTCACAGACATGATCTCATATGTTCTACAAACATTTATTGTTTTTATTCTTTGGGAGAAATTCCTCAGCTCTGCAGGGAAAACACCAAAATGTATTTTCTGAATCCCCTCCAGTCAATGGGGAGAAATACCAGTGTGTGTGTGATTATGCCAGCCAGCCCTGACTCACTCATCTTTGCTGCTGATTCTCTATATCAAGCTTTGGTATTTTATTTCCCAGTCTGTTCAACAATTTTTTCCTGCATATCCCTGGTAAGGCCTCAAACTAAAAACTGAACGCATGGGATGCTAATTTACATGTTTACTGAAGTGCGCGGGCTTGAATCGTGTCTGTGGCCCACCAAGGCAGACCTTTGCAGGGACTCTGCCTCCGTTTCAAGAACAATGGCACCTTCCTTTAGACAGGGGTCAGTGACATCATTGACATAAGAAGCCTGGCAGGGCCTGTGGGTACCTGGTACCTAGCTAGTAATTAACACTCAATAAGTGTTGCTGTGCTTACTTGCATCATGCTCCTTTCCAGACGTTCACAGTCAAAAGAGAAGAGTAATCCTAGATAATCCTTAAACCTTCTGTTTAAGTTGCATTTTCTTCCCTTCCTTACCCTCTATATGCAAATGTACATTTGGCAAGCAGCAGGGAGCTTTCAGATTCCTTATCTCTCACACCCACCAGAACCTAATTTTGTTCATGGAGAGTAAAAAATAAAATAAATATTGCATTGGGGGAAAGATATGTGAAGGCACCCACATGACAGAGAATGGCTGTAAGGATATGAACATACATAAAGTAAGAAAGTGTGATTCTAAAAGAGCAGTTTATTGTTGTTTGAGCAGCCTGACCGGGACTTCTCCTTTCTGTTCCACTCTAACCAGCACGGAGCCTTCGGTTTTACAACTTTGATAAGTTGGTAAGTGAAACATTTTTTCCTTTTTTTTTTTTTTTTCTGGAGACAGAGTCTTGTTCTGTTGCTCAGGCTGGAGTGCAGTGGTGCAATCTCAGCTCACTGCAATCTCTGCCTCCCGGGTTCAAGCGATTCTCCTGTCTCAGCCTCCCGAGTAGCTGAGATTACAGGCATGCACTACCATGCCCGGCTAATTTTTGTGTTTTTAGTAGAGATGGGGTTTCACCATGTTGACCAGGCTGGTCTCGAACTCCTGGCTTCAAGGGATCCACCCACCTCGGCCTCCCAAAGTACTGGGGTTACAGATGTGAACCACTGCACCCAGCCCAAAATTATTCCTTGACGCTTTAATCTGTATGCTTACTTACTTGTGAAATCGAATGCTTTCTTCATACATGCATTTCCTACTTGTGAACTCCCTGATTGCATCTGCTCATTTTTCCTAATGGATCTTGGAGGTTTTGTTAAAAATTATAATGATAAATAATAATCTATTAACTCTTTCTACTCTTTCTATATTGATTATTAACTGAGTCATATTTATGCCAAATATTTTCCCAGATTGCAGTTTTAAAAATTGTGTTTATGGTATTTCTTCCGTAAAGCAAGTGTTAACTTTTTGGTGCTGAAACCTGTCGGTCTTTCTCCCTGTGATTTTTGAGAGTAAATCTGCATTTCCTTCTCCCTGCTTCCTCCCTCATTTAGGAGAAATGGAGCCAGGGCCCCTCTATCCTCGGCTAACCACAGTAAACCCTCGGCTAATCTTTTTTTTTTTTTTTTGAGACACAGCCTCACTCTATCGCCCAGGCTGGAGTGCAATGGTGTGATTTTGGCTCACCGTGACCTCTGCCTCCTGGGTTCAAGCGATTCTCCTGCCTCAGCCTCCTGAGTAGCTGGGATTACAGGTACCCACCACCACACCTGGCTAATTTTTGTATTTTTAGTAGAGACGGGGTTTCACCATGTTGTGCAGGCTGGTCTTGAACTCCTGACCTCAGGCGATCCACCTGCCTCTGTCTCCCAAAGTGCCGAGATTACAGGTGTGAGTCACCGTGCCAGGCCTGCCACTGCCTAATCTTGATGCCCCAGTTTTGAACATCTGCTGACAGTAGGTCCAGGGGAGGCTGCATAGCCTGAAACTCAGGAACCACATGTGGGCTTGGGGAAGAACTGTCTGGAGGAAGGCCAGCTTCCCACAAATCTTTACCCAAGGGAGAGTTCTGCCTTAAAGTCCTTAAAATGCCCTCTACCAGAGCTACTGAAGGTTGGTTCTTAGGGTAAGGTTCAGTTCAGTAGAAGAATATGACATTGGACACAAGTGTGCAGGAGGGGAAGGGCAGGGAGTCGGGAGAGAGGTAGGGCTGGGGCCCTACCGGGAGACTGGGAAACCAAGCCCTCTTTTCTTATTTCCTATTTTTGTTCTTCTTTTAGACCCAGTATGTCTTTCAGTAAAAAAACTGTTATTTAGTTGAAGTTAGAATTCGCATATTTAAGCCTCCCATGTGAACTGAGTGTAAGATGGAGAATCATAAGTAATTTAGATGTGTATAGCTGTGCATAAAGTACTGACGCTGTTTTCTAAATCTGGAGTCTTTTCTACATTCAGAACAATTGAGGAAGGAAGTGAGGATGTCTGGAAGTCAGCACTTCCTTTTTAATGGATAGTAACAACCCAGAACGGTTTTATGGGCCTAGGGAAGGGGACAAGGTGACAACAACTGCAGTTCACGTGGGACTGAAGTTTCCCAGAATGAGGGACAGCCAGGATTAAAACCTGGACAGTCCCATGCAAACTCGGATGCTTTGTCATCTAGACTTGCTATTCACACACACACACCCCACATATGTGTAACCCTCCCCCAAAATAATGCAACAGCCTTTCAGTATCCATCTTTGACAGAGGATGGAACTACGGGTTGAAGAGACTCAGATACTTCCTTAAATTCACACAAATTGGGCATAAAGGAGCCTGCATGTAAACTTGGTTCCGTCTGATGTCAGAGGGCCCTTTCTACCCTCCACGCTTGGGATTTATCAGTCGGGTCGGTGAACTCACTCTCTCACCCACCCACTCACCCCATATTTTCAGAGAGCAGAAGATGTGCCATGCGAAGGATTGGATCATGGATGATTCCGAACGGGCTCTGTTACACTGGTAACTGGGAAAGCCCAGGGCAGCAAGGAGAATAGTAGTTCAAGAATCATCTGAAATCAAGTGTATGGGAGGCCACTGTTTTGGACTGAACTCTTACACTAGGCCCAATGGACCAGACCAAACCAGAATGGAGTCATCCCTGCCAGGTGCCAGGCGGTCCGGCTGAACTTTAAAAAGGGCAGCTTTCCAAAAAATAAGAGATGCACAGCAGCCAATCAAAAGGACCAGTTTACCTGAGCAGGTTTGATGAGGAAGTCCCCCCTGCTTTAACCCTGCAAGAGAAGTAACTCTAAAATGCCAGTCTCCCTTTTGTTCCCTGTTTCTGCTTCTTCAGCCTTTCCTGCCTATAAAGCCAAGTCCTTTGCCTGGCTTATTGGAACATATTTTCTCAGTTCTTGGATGGGACGCTGCCTGATTCATGAATCAGTAATAAAAGCCAATTAAATCTTTAACGTTGTTGAAATTTTTTTTTTTTTTAACAATAATAACCTCAGTAGAAATAAAATTTGCAAGAGGTCTAATGTAATTGGAGCCTTAAGGCAACTCAGTACAGTAGTTCGGTACTCTTAGTACAGGTTAAGCATCCCTAATTTGAAATCCAAAAAGCTCCAAAATTAGAAACTTTTTGACTGCTGACACAATGCTCAAAAGAAATGCTCACTGGAGCATTTCGGATTCAGGATTTTCGGATTAGAAGTGCTCCACTGGTAAGTATAATGCGAATATTCCAAAATCGGAGAAACACTCCTGGTCCCAAGCATTTTGGATGACAGATACTCAACTTGTACACAAATATTCTTAGAGGCACTTCAGATTAGGAAGAGTCTGTATTAGTTTCTTCCTCATCTAGGGCAGTCTTGGGAATTCAAACAAAACCCAGATTTTCCCCCCATCACAAACACACACACTCACCTACCAGTTGACTAGGTTCAAACTCCAGCCATCCTGAGCATCTTCTCCTTTACTTGGGGGTTGGTTTCAGTTGAATTCAAGGTTTGGAGTCTCTGGAATTTATACTCATTTCTTGAATGAGAAGAGTTACCAAAATGAAGCAACTACACCAAGCCTCAGACATTTCACATCATACAAAAGTCTCCCGTTTATATGTTTGTCTCTTTCCTTTACTGCTCGACTTCGGCGTGGGTCCTCTGCCTCCATCGGCCATTTTTCCAGTGTCTAGCACAGTCAGGGTCTGCCACTCGCCGAGTGGGTGGGTAAACAGCTAAACACAGAAATCCCTGCAATATAAGAATCGTTGCCAACATCTACAATTAAACCAATTTTTAGTTGATAGCAAATAATGTTAAGGTACAAAAAAGTGAAACACAACTCCTTTTAAGAAAAAGAAATCCTAAACTCCATAGTATTTCTCTGAAAAATTGCAAGAAAACTTACATGACTCGCCAGAAGCAACAACCCAAGACAGTCTATGAAACAAAACTGGGGTTGTGGTGACTTTGATCTGCATCATTAATTTAATTTCTCAGTTTTACAAGCAAGCAATGAAAATGAAAAGGACTGATTGAATTACATGTTACTTAGGGCTTTTGGGAGGTGGTCACAGCTGAATCAATCCATTTACCTTCCATGGGAGGTGTTACTATATATCTTATTGCTTATTTTCTTTTAACCCAACACTTTAAGCTCAGCCAGAGATCCAAGGGACGGTGGAGGTTGCTGGGCAGGAGTGTCAGTAAAGAGGCCAGTGAGATGCTGAAGATGGCTTAAGCTGCCCAGTGCTAGCACTCAGGAATCTGAAAAATTTAAACACTATCACCTGACACCAATCCTTTGTGAGGTCCCAACAGAGCCTTCCTTGTCTTCAGCGAGAGCTGTCTACTTGTTCTGGAACACTTCTGAGCGCTCCCATTCGAGGCGATGGAGACGATGAGGAGGTGAGCCCCCACCCTCCCCGTCTCCCATGTAAGATGTCACCACACTTTCCACAGGAAGAAGACATCTGGAGTTGCAAAAGGAGGCTGTGCAGTTTCTATCCGCTTACCTAATAGCCCCTCCACCGAGCAGCCACCTTCCTTGGGGTTCTCAGGAACACTCCCCTTCCCACAGACAGAGGCTGTTTCCAGCCTTCACCCACCAGCTACTGTCTCCTTTTTCAAGTCTGTGGGTGAACTGTGGGGTCCACTCACCTCTGTTTTTCTAAGTCCCTCAAATTCCTTTCCTACCCTGGTATGTCCAGGATTCATCTCCTCAAAATTGTTTCAAGGGCGCGAGTTACAAATAAGATTAGGTAGCACATGCTATTTAGAAAGTTTCAGAAAGAGAAGGAAAGAAGGAAGGAAGAAGGAAGGAAGGAGTTGTTACGTAAATGAGAAATACTGAAAGGCTGTTTAACTGATGTTGCAGACACTATAGTTCCATAAAAAAGATAAATTATGAAAAACAAGGGTTGTAAACACTTTTATATTTCCTTAATTGACTCTTGAGCAGACCACATGACTCAGTACTGGTCTCCAGGGATCAGCCTGTGCTCCAGGGCGTTGTAACACATTTATATTACTTATCCTATTTAACATTTTGAGTCATATTATTTTCACAGAACCTTATTTACTATAAACGTCTCATAAATCTACATAGTATACACATTTCATTTAATATCTAAGTAACATATACTATTGTACACCATTAAATACACCCAGTAAAGACACCCTAGTTTGCTTAATCATTCTTCAAATGTTAAGAGATTTGAGTTACAATTAATGCAACAATCCTCCCTTTACCTCCATGGAGATAATTTTTTTGTTGTTCTCTAACCCATGTATTTGTTTCTTTGTCTGCATATGTGTTTATACTCAAACAGGCAGCTTTGCTTACTCTTCATCTTTGTATGTTAATGTTCAACAAAGGATTTCCTGAATCAGAAAACATGGTCAGTTTTATGACCATTCCTGGCTTTTGCTGTTGGAGACTTTATAGCAGCAGAGAAGTGGAGGTCTGAATTAGCACATGACCATTTACGTTACAAAATTCTCATAAGAAAAACTTGCATGTTCTATTTCTTAATTTGAAAAATTGTCAGTTATGTACCATCGAATTTTTATCCCTGCTGAAGTTATACCCGAACTCTGTATTTGCAGGGAATTCCAGAGGAGTCAGGATGGGCCCTCAGTGCAGTAATCATAGAGTGTAACAATAGAGAACATGGCACTTTTTAAAAAAGTCGAGGGCTACCTCTGACCTGTCACTCCTGAAATATGTCTCCTAGCAGTCATCTTCTTGCCTTCCTGGGCTAGAGCTTTATAGGTTACCTTAGGGTGATCATGGGGACCTGGTTTTCATGAGGCCATGTTTAAGTTCACGGGTGACCTGGCTGGGGAGAGGGTATAAACCCATAAATACGGGCCAGTTGACAGACTAGGATTGCCACTTTGTAAAGAAGAGCCCAAGGCCTGATCAGAATGAGACACAAATGAGGTCATTTTTAATAGAGCTGGTGGGGGGGAGAAGGACAAATGGACTGGGGCAATTCTCAGGGAGGGAAGGGCTGGATAGGGGCCTATTTTGGGAGAGCCTAGAAACCACACAAGCGTCCCAGACACCCGGGCTAGTGGGGAGGAGAGCGGAATGAGAGCAGTCATGAAAAAGGGTAAGGGAACACAAGAGAAATTCGGTTTGCTTATTTTTGTCTGGGCACAGTTTTGCCCTTAGCAACCTAAGGCAATTTCACAAAACTCCACTCAGTGCACAGGATGTAGAACACGGCGGAGGCTTCCACTGTGGTTTGACTGGCTTTTGGGAATCGAGCTGGAAAGCCAAAAGGACACGTTTCAGTGTGGACATCCAAGTCTTAGTGGGTGTCCTGAGGGCAGGCGAAGGCCTTGGGGGAGGTGTCTTCGCAACTGTGTAGCCGTGGTTTTCTGATTAGCAAATCTGAGGGCAGGGAGATACTGTGATCAGGACTGTTTGATTCTGGGCAAGCCTCCTTTCACCCTGCCCACATAGAAGACTCTGCTTTGGATACAAAGTCAACGACAGATACTGACACAATGGACCTGTAACTTGTGCATGGCTGCCTTTTGAACAATTTAGTCCATTTGAGGAACCTCCACAAGCCTGCACTTCCAGAGCAAAGTTCCTGCTCTTCTGGGGAATTTAATTGTGAATTGTCTGTTTTGGGGCCCATTTTGACTCCAGTATTCCAGGACTTACCTCTTTGGAGGCCTTGATTTGGAATTTCCCATTGGATGGGGCTACTTGGGTATGGGGCAGCTTCAACCTGGCTTCTGTAAGAACAAAGCCAGACGATCACAGTGGGTGGTCTGCTAGGAGAATGGAAATGCCATTGATTAAAATTGAAAGGTTTGGAGAGAGGCCTGAGAGTTTGGGATAGGAGATGAAGTTTTAAAAAAATCAGTTTTTTAAAAAAACACTTCCCATCTGAAATGCCAGTGAATTGTCCAGATAGATTACATTGAAAAGGCTGACATTTCTGTAGCAGCCACGAATGAAGTCATCTGAGTGGATGAGGTGCTCTAGGCCATACATGGAGAAGAAAGAGAACACAATTACCCAGGCCTCCCGTGACTGCGTGCGGCCACAGCCTCTGCTCATTTCCTAGTTAGGAAGGATGCAGGGGTCTGCTGGGATCTCCACGTTTCTACCTGTACTTCTGAGGACTGGGTTTCTGCCCACACCAGTTGCAGGATTTGCTCTACTGAGAAAGAGTTTTGCTCCAGAATGCAAGTTTCCTGTTTCAGACACGGACAGCCAGTTTTGCTTCTAGTATCATTTTCAGCTACATACAGAAAAATGAACTTGGCTGAGCTGAAGAGCCACGCGTATGTTAAACGGCAGCTCGGGTATTAGGAACGCCGCGAAGGCAGGCCGAAAAGTTAACCCCCTTCTCCTCACCCCTGTCCTCACAGCGGCCCCTTCAGTGGCCTGACTTTTTCTGCCCGGGACCCAGAATGTCGCTTGAGGATGGGACTAACCCGCAGACCTGCAAGCGCTGCCACGCAAACGGCCTCGGCCAGAGCAGCCGCTTCTCGGCTCAGAATGGCATCTCCAGGGACCCTCGTGCAGTGGGGCCAGGTCTCCACCGGGCCGGTCCCGTCCTTCCTACCCGGGCCCTGCGGCCAGGCGGGGCCGGGAGCGGCGGATGCGGGAGGGCGCGGGGGAGCCCGGCTCGCGCGGGGCTGGTCCGAGGGCGGAGGCAACCCGCCGGCGACGCCGCAGGTCCCGGGTGGCTGACGCCGTCCGGGGGCGTTCCTGGGAGCTGGGGGCCGGCGAGGCTGGACCCGACGCGCCCGGGAGGAGCCGGCCGGCGGCCACGTGACCCAGCGCGGCGGGGCCGGCGGCCCAGAAATAGCAGCGGCGGCGGTTCCGCCCGCGGGCGGCGCGAGCGAGGAGCCGAGGCGGGAGAAGCCGGCAGGGCGCGGGCGCGGCGGCCCCGGAGGATGCTGCTGAGCCCCGGCCCTGCCCGGCCGCGAGCACATGATGGCTATACGGGAGCTCAAAGTGTGCCTTCTCGGGGTGAGTCCTGGCCGCCCCCCGCCGCGGACCCCGGCCGGCGCCCCCGCGCCCCTTCGCTCCCCTGGTCCCCGCGCGCTCAGACCCCGCCATCCCCTCGCTCTCCGCTCTCCTCTCGCAGCTTCCGTCCCCCTCGTCCGCGCGCCCGCTGGTTCCCCGGGTCCCCCTCGCTCCCCCAGTCCGTGCGCCCCTCGCTCTCCGCACCCCCTCTTGTTCCCCGCCGCCCCCTCGTCCGTGCGCCCCTCCGGTCCGCCCCCGTCTCACCCTGCCGGGGTCCGGGGCCGAGCCTGCCCCGCGCTTTTTCTGCTCTTTCCTCCCGGCCCGCGAGTCCCCGGACCCGCGGCGGCCTCGCGGGGACCCCCGGCGGGGACGGGGCAGTGGCTGCGAGTCTGGGGCCCCGAGGGCTTTCTCCTCCGCCTTTGACAGTTTCCTTCCGGCAGAAAGTTTAAGTTGCTCAGCCAAGTCGCTGAGGACTCTTTTGCCTCCTGGGGCAATTGATTGTTCACTTAAAACACAAAAATAAAACCAAACGCGAGCCCAGCCAAGGGGGTGAAAGCCGAGGGCGCGGCCGGGGTGGAAGGTGAGGCGGTGACCTGTGCGGAGCGCGCCCTGCAAACTTCCCTGCTGCGGATGAAAGAAGCCGGCTGGGAAAGTCCTCCCCACCACCACTTCTCCTAAAGTGGGGCTTTCTCAGCCCGAAGAAGCCTTAAAGCCGCCAGAAACAAAGAAGCAGTCAATCCTTGCGGTCAGGGGACTGCAGACCGGGGACCCGGCCAGGACGCAGGGAGCCGCTGGCGAACCGCCCCTGAGAATTCAGATAAACGTAGGGTCGCTTCCTTTCGGGGGCCCACATCGCATCGCATTCCAGAATTCCTTCTTCTAAAAGAAGAGCTGGTTCTAAGGGCGTTTTCAGCAGCCTTTGGCATCTGGTGTACCCGCCCATGTCACTGGCAAAGCTGGTCTCATGAAAACCATTTCCTAAAAAAGAGCAGCGAAAGGGTCGCATTCTTGTGCAAACTGGTCTGTCAAGATGGGGATACAAGAACTGTAGAAAGAGGAAATGATTTCGGTGAGGACTGAACTGTGCCAGCGTCTCTAGGCTTCCTCTAGGCTCTTCTGGAACCTCTGGCAGAACCTTGTTCTGTCCACCGGCTCCCATCACTGGCCTCTGCGAAAACCATCCCTTACCTTAACTCGATTGTCCGGTTGGCCTAGAATTCCAGAGGATCTGGGAAGGCCCTGCCCTCCCTGGGAGCCCCTGGCACAGATCCCCACCTCCCCCGACTTGCTCAGCCACAGCCAGGATCTAGCCTGGTCCTTTCCCTGTTGACCTTTTTGTGTGTCTGGGGTGGGTTTTCCTGTTCCCCAGGCCCTCTAATATTTCCAGACGTGAATCCCAGGAATCCCGTGCTTCCCTCTTGAGGGGCCATTTCAGCCTCAGGAAAGGCCTTCAGAGACTTAGAAGGAATGTCGTGTTCCAAGGAATGAAGGGGCAGCCTTGATGTGCGCTGTGTTTGTCAGGATTGGCCTTGGGAAAAATGAAATAAGACATGTTTTTGCCTTTTTTTTCTTAAACTCTTTCTCTTCACTTTTACTGAGGTGGTCCAAGCCCTGCCCTATCACAGGACCCCTTATTTTGAATTTTGGCATTTAGGGACAGGTCTCTATATCCTCCTACCAGGACACTGATCAGGTGGCAAGAACCCTGTGTCAGGAGGCAGGAAACCCAGGCTCTCATTCTTTCCCACCAACGAGCTGTGTCGCTTTAGCAAAGCAACTCAGCGGCCTCATCTATGAAATGGGCATAATAACATGTTCCCCCTTAAGGCAGAGGACTATACCAGATGATCTCCTAAGATACATGCTACCATTTCAGGGTGGCAATTAGCAAACCTGGGAGAGGAGGAAGGTGGAGGAAATCTCTTTACTTCTTTTATCTCCAAGAATGATACACACTCTTTGAGTGGCTTCCTGCAGACAGTACCTTACCTTTGCCAGTTGTGTGTGTAGGAAATTGAACTCGGAGTTGGAAGAACCATGCCAAAGCAGAGA